GAGGTCTCCGGGACTTGACCTCGGTGTGTGGTATTATCGCTAGGAATCAAGGTTACCTTATGTGAAGCAAAGTAGGTACTCAACGTATTTATATATGTGTAACTGTTATTAAATATTTATGTATTATTATWACTACAACATCGAGTCTTATAAATTATAATATATCAAACATCAATTATTAATAATATGTATGTTAGGCATACCTATAAATTATAACTGAGAGTTACCGATCGGGCCATGGTGTGTCTTGGGTGTCGRTATCCAATGTGGGTTGAGGTGGTCGTCCGCGGGTCTTCTTCGGGTTGTAGTCCAACTATCGACTTCTGACTCTAGCCTGTCTCTCCATCCACCATCGACTCTACTAGCCCATCGACCCTAAGCCGTCCCGGTCGGTTATTAACACGGCGTGTGCTAAAACGTCGCTTCAGCATAATATATATTGCATACATATATGTACACCTTGGTATTATTAACACTCAGCATATTAGCCATGCTCAACGTACGGATTAATGTACGATGTCGATGACGACAATCGTTACAGATGTATAAATTTATAGGTTGGTAATAGGTATATTTGAATATGCAAGTATATTTTATCATAATTGATTTTACCAACTAGGTGTGTAAGGACTTAAATAGGTTGACCTAGGTAAATTTTGTTGATATTTTGTAGTTAAAAATACTATTATTGTACATAAGTTATACCTGTTGGCTGTTATAAATTATAATATATATGATAGGTACATTGATACTTCTGTCTACATTAAAGTTTAAAATTTTTAATCATAACTATTAACTGCATTTAAATTATTAAAAAAACTCTTACAAAGTTTGTATGTATCTTTTAAATAATTATGTAATTGACAGTTGGCAAATAAGTTTTAAAAATTTCATTTAAAATCATTATTGATTGAAAATGTTATTTATAATTTACTTAGAATAGGTCAGTATTTGATTTATTCAATGGTTTCTTAAGGTGGTATACTTAGGTACCTAAAACCCGCGGAAGCAACGCGGAAGCAATTTCCACGGCGTCGTCGGTTCAAACAGGAGAAAAAAAACCAAATAAACAAATCCCATGTGGGTAGGAAGCAGTGATAATTTGTAGGTAAAAATTATAATAGTTATTTCCCCAGAATATATTATTAATTGCTCTGTGGTACTGCCACCTAAATTAAATAAAAATATAATATGAACTTGAAATTTTCCATCACTGTACCGGTATGGACGATCCATAAACGGTTTTAGTGCAGCGAATGTGATTACTCGTATTTCGTACATAAATTAATCACTTTAAATGTGTAAAATTCATGATAACTGCACCAGTACGACGCTGTCTGGCATTTATAACTGTTTCAATGTTGCATAGTGCCCAACTTCCGACGCAGTGGCGTATTCAGCTTTTTTAAAGAGAGTTATTCATTTTTTTACTATACTCAGACTACGTTATAATAGGTATACATTCATGGCTTTATCTTATATTTTATATGAAAAATTGATAAACAAAAGCCCTGAAGGATATGACATATTCATCCCCACTCATCGTGAGCGAGTCACTGATTAGGTGCTGCGATAGTACAACGAATCCTGCATAAGTCTTTTATCTAAAAAAATATCTATGATTGTAAAGAACATCAAATAATAACATGGTATATTGTAAATGCAAAAAACTGTATAATTTGTATTACCCATATTATTGAACCATATGTATATACACGTCATACATATTAGGTATGTTCAGCATGCCAAAATAACTCAAATCAATAATGATTTGTAAATATAGTCTTTTGTACGGATCAAAGAAACATATTTTACTACCTATGCTAAACACGTTCGATTTGTTTTAAATATTTTTTTTAAGCAGTTATTCGTGTTCAAGTCAAAATTTGAATATGAATTTTGAAATTAGGTAGTTGTGTAAATAGGTATTTAAAAAACAGTATCTATGATAAAACGTATAATTATTATTTGTTTGGTAAAACAATATACATTGATTTCCTAAATTTTTAAATTACTATATGTCTTGTTATTGATATATGTTGATAATTTGGTATGTACTGATTAGTAATTCCTAACTAATAATAACTAATTACTAATTAGGTATAGATTTTACAAACTTGYACCATGAATAGGTATACCACCTATTCTTAATATTGTCTTCTTTAAAATAGTCACACTCCAAATTTTTCAAAAGTAAATACATATAAGTTTTAGATGCTTAATAGTTAATAATGTAATGAAACTATAAGAACGATTAATTAAAATTAAATGACACTTTAACATTTTTAATGTACTTTTTTGTCTTATGTTCTCACTGTACTAGTGAATGTTGAGGAGAAGTATTGGCAACATATAGTTACTTCTTCGGTCCTCGATACCATAGAGGAAAAAAAATGTACAAGTGAATGTAAGTCAATGTATAAATAATACATAACGTGTATTATTATGTACAATAATAATGTAAATATCTGCTAATACTATTTTTACTAATTTTCCATACAATTATTACCTTTTTTGAATCACACAGTCTAAAACAATTAAAACCGAATATAAAATGTATACATTTTAGTATAATTACTTAATTACTTAGATATTACAGTTTAAAACTCGAAAGTCTATCGTTTTTTATTAAATTACATATTTTTGAAAACAATAGTTAAGTAACTGGTTTTTATTTGAAAGCTATAAGTAGGTATTATGTAGGGAAATATTGGGAAATTTGTAATTCTGTCTTCATAAATTATTTAATTAATTTATAAATATTAAGCTTATTATTTATTACCTACTTGTTAACAACATACAATTTATTTTGAAATAAATATTACCTATTACCTACTTAAAAAAAAAGTTTGGTGGGTGATTATTTATTTGAATATTACCTAAATTACGTCCACTTATGACAAAATTGACGATCTCTATAAAATTAAACAATTATTTTTATCTGAGTGGTTCGACTGTGTTCTACAAAATTATGAAAATCATATAACACTTATTATTATTACAATATTTTTTTTCACGTACTTACCTACTTCTAATTATTTTTTTATTTAATAATTTCATTAAATAAGCTATTATTTGTTGAGTTATAAATTTTAAATTAGAATTTAATACATAAGTATCTCTTATAAAATTAAGTATATTGGTATGTATATTTGTTAAAAGAATAGGTTCACCGACTTTTCAAATTTTTTTTACATACCAAAATATACTGAAATATGTGCTAAAAAATATTTACATTAAATTATTCATTTATTTACGGTATGTTGGTATACAATATACGTATGCTGTACACTTAAATATATAATACATATAACCAACAGAGGTAGTAGATACATAAACTATAATAAATAATAATTATATAATTTCTGTAATACCTACATACCTAATATTCATCAGTAATACTAATTACTCAAAACGMAAGTATCCATATTTGTTATCGTAACAAATAACTTTGTCATATTTACCTACAGAATATTATTAAATATTTAACATTATAAACAATATAATAGATAGGTTTCATTTTAATAACTGATTATAATATTAGATAACATGAGCAGCCAAGGAGATATCTATGGAATGATGAAGTAGGTAGCGTAGTGTTTGAAAATATCTGCCCTGTGATCGACTATTTATAGTGGGGACCACGTTTAAACGACATATATATCTATCTTCTGTTCGACAATGAGTAGGTAAGTCGGTATATAAGGAATACCTACCTTGATTGTTTTAACAACTAGTTGTTAATTTTTACTCCCGACTAGACTGAAAAATAATAATAAATTAAAATTTAGTGATGGCCGTTTTAAATATTGTCTTTTATACAACATTGTTTATGATTACCTCACTAGGTACAGCTCAAGTAAGTAATATACATAACTACTTTATACTACCTACTCCAGACTTCAAAATTATAATTTATTACTTTTTGAATAATATATATGTATGTATTTTATTTTTTATTTCAATTTCAATTTCCCTTATTCATCTTAATTTGAACGACAAGTAATATTTATAAAATAAATACAATACACATTATGTGTTAGCTGTATAAAACTACACAGCTAGTATACCTACATAATACTTGAGTAATATATAAGTGCATATGTGCATTTGAAAAAATAATAATCAATACCCTAAAAAACATATTTTTAGTTAAATATTACTGAATTCCATACCTAAACCAAAATACTTGTTATTAAACACGAACCGATTATAACATACAACTAATATAATATATTAATTTATGAGATTATTCTATTTTAAATTTTTATGTTGCTGCAGGATTTTGATAATTTAATGAGATCAGGGATGGATTCATTTTTTTAAATATTATAACATAAGATAATATGACTAATATAAATAACTAGATTTGACATAAAAAAATTCTTAGTTATCTTATGTATTATATTTTGGACGGTAAACGGACGTTTCGCTCCCGCCGTTTCGTCCCCGTCAAAAAAACCAGTCCACGGACGTTTCGTCCACGGCAATTATTGAGATAGGACGTTTGGTGCCGGAGAGTTTTTAGCCATAGGACGTTTGGTCCACGGCATATTTTCATTAGGTATAGAACATTCGGTTCTCAGGTTATTAATTACTTCAAACTTCATTATTTTACTAACATTTACTACATTTATTTTTAATGAACAATTCTGTAATATCTAATATACAGTGTTGTAAAGTATTTGAGTAGAAGTATTCAAATATTTTAAATATTTGAACTACTTTATTTTAAGAGTATTTGAGTAATTACTTAAATACTTTTAAAAAGTATTTTTTACAACACTGCTAATATAGTAAATAGCCTATAGGTAAGTAATAAAGATTGTTTGTGCACTATATACAGCCAAACAGGCTTGTGAGTTGAAATTCTATATTTATTTTAATACATTAAATGATGGGGGATTCATTGTTTTCAAATAGGTATACAGTATTTAGTATCTATATCAAATGTTATTAAGATAAACCTATTCGATAAAATGTTTTATACTTACTATTTCAACAATTCTACACACTCGCTGTACAGAGTTATATTGTGTTCGTACCTATTGTAGTGCGTATACAAGTGTGTAGTGTATAGTACAAATATGGAGTGTTTAATTACAAAAAGAAATACATTTACAAAAATGTTTACATTATGATTAAAAAAAGTAAAATTAGGAATCCGGTGGGCGTGTGTTCACAAAGACATGTGCAATGGAACAATTATAACAGATGAAGAAATAACTACCATTTTTAAATTGGAGCTCACAGTCATGAAGGCGATCCAGATTTTACTAACACAGAGAGAGCTAAATACACTATAAAGGAAACAGCAAAAGAAAATTATGATTTACCATCTCGGATTTATGCAGGGAATGTGGCTAATTTATCAGACAAAATCAACCAATTTATTGGTAATGAAAATTCGATAAAAAAGGTGTTTGCAGCGTATTCGCAGCAATATCCATCCAAAAATTTCAAAAATAGATGATATTTTACTGGAAGGAACACATTAGAGTATGACTGGTAAAGAAAATTCAGAGTAGTTTTTATTTTCTGGCAATAAAAATAATGAAAACCGTATTATAATTTTCTATTCACAAACGTGCATTGACGTATTAAAACGTACCAAAATTATTTATATGGACGGGACATTTTCTACTTGCTCTTCCGATATTTATCAAGTTTATATACTACAAGCAAGTATAGACAATATTATTATTCCTTTATTATTAAGCACTTTCAATAATTTCAATCGATTTCGAACGTTCTGTGGTTCTGGCAATCAAACAAGTATTTAATAATGAAGTATCCGTGAAATTGTGTTTTTATCATTTAAACCAATCTATCTGGCGAAAAGTTCAAGAGCTTGGATTAGCCATTATATATAAACAAGACAAACAGTTTAGAGAGGCTGTAAAAATGTTTTCTGCCTTAAAATTTTTTTCCTGCAAATATTGCAAAAAAAGGTAATTTTTAATTTTTATATGTGTACATTTATGTAATTTCTGAGTATTTAAAAATGTGCAGGAATGTCACTACTATCGAATTCTTTTAAATCGTTGGAAAGATTAGACGATATTTTGGTGTATTTTGATTCAACTTACGTCAATGGGACATACAAATCCACAACAACGGAGTACGGTGTATCTCGCTTTCTACAACATCCACTAATATTTTCACCGCACATGTGGAACGTTAACAATGCCACAAAAGAAGGATAATATGGTCGGACTAACAACGTGTTAAGGATTCAACAATAAATTAAAAAAATATTGTCAGAATTAAACATCCTAACTTGTATATATTTATTGAATCAATATAGATGTGTAATATGTCTGCAACGACTGCATTGGTACAAAAACAAAATGAAATAATAAATGAACCGAAAATAGTTAGTTTTAAGGAAAAGAAATTGCAATAATATTGTACGGGATTTCAATATAATGACGATAATGACATTTTTTTATATACATAATTGTATATTTAAAAAACATAAGTCAGTTGACCTAAAAATAAATATACAATTTATCTTAATATTATAGTATTTAATTTTAATTTATTTGTACCACATTTTGTGTTGATTTAATACAATTATTGTGATTTATTTAAATCTTTACTATTTGTAATTGTATTGTATGAATAGGTATTGATTATGTATTTGTACATTTTGTAGTATTGTCATATAAAGATTAAATTTTTCATTAAAAATTTACGTATTTAGAATTTAGATTATCAAAGTATGCCGGGGACCAAACGTYCTATGGCTAACAACTTTCCGGGACGAAACGTCCTATCTTAATAATTGCCAGGGACGAAACGTCCGTGGAATGGTTTTGTACATAATATATAATAAATATAAATGGTTTTAGATATATTTTTAATTTCAAAATTTTATATAATAAATAATTTGTATATTTAAATATTTTTTTTATTTTATTTTATGAGCCCTCRGCAGCATAGGCCGAGGCATAGGGTTTTCATTTAAATATTTTGTATTAGGTAGTTTTTGACGTACTATAATAAATATAAATAATTTAGGTATTAATTTTATTTACTGATTTATAATTTTTTTTTTTTTGACGTCCAATCTCTCCACGTCCAAACAGCTGCATCCATTTGTTCTAGATCACCCTGAATGATATAATATAGTTATGTATATGTAGAAAAACAGGTGCCATCTAGCTACTTATATAACTTAATACTTAATTTGATACATATAAGATATAATCTACGTGTGTGTTTAGGGAAATAGTATACCGATTGAAGTCAATGAAAATCAATGGATAGTTGATGCCCAAAATTGTATAAGAGATTCTTTATCAAAGATAGAATTKTATGGAGTAGAAAATGAAAAAATCAAGACGATTACCAACGAAGCATTCGATGCATTTACAAAGTCCGTCGAAAATGACTTGTCTAAAATTATTAAACAGGTATTCTATATAAATTTAAATTAATAAGGTATTTATTTTTATTTATTAAATTGTTTTGTATTCATTTTCATGAACTATGTTTCAGTAATTGTTACCTAATTAAGATTTATGCAAATAGTTAATTGTTTAAMATTTTAACCTCGTCAATTCAAGTTTATTGAGATGGGAGTAAAAAGATACCGATAGATTTATATTTGATAGTTATGGTTTAAATTTAAGCTAATAATCTACCCAGGTGATAATGTTCATTGTTCATCATATTTTTTGACGTTGCTAATCAATCATACAAGTACATATAATGTAAAATGTTTATTTATTTTAATTAATAAAGTGTGAAAAATAAATGAGAGTAGTTGCTGTGCGTCATAGCTTGCGCACGGGTGTGGCTTATAATAGTGATAGCCACACCTGAAGCTGGGTATTTCTTTAAGTGAGTACCCGGTACATATTTAAGAAAAAGAGCCAATAACTCTATCTTGCTGGAAAACGAGAAATTTTTTTATCAATTTGATCATACAATTTGTATGCCAATCTATTTTTATCATGTTAAAATAGTCAAAAATCATAATATTTAACATCCATAGATGAAGATAGCTTAATCTAGGAGGATCTTATAATAAAATTAAAAAAAAATCTATCTTGTTTATTTTTTAAGGGAGGTTTGTGAGGGGGTGGGTAGTCAAAAAAAAAAATATATGCCACACCTGAAACATGAGTCTGCGCAGGCCTATTAAGGGGYGCAACATCCGTAATTGTTGTCTCAGTCTTACAAATGCGTAACATAGCAAATTGAAGCTCAGCAGTTCACGTTTTACTCCGTTAGCTTAAAAATTAGAGCGAATAGACCTATTATGAAACTTGATGGTAAGACCATTATCTGTGTTTTTTTGGAAGTATTTTTACGATATTCAGTTTTTAAATGAGTTATGCGCGTATAATAAATTTTAAAACAAAAACACGCTCATTTAAAAACTGAATTATTATAAAAATACTTCCAACAAAACACAGATAATGGTCTTACCATCAAGTTTTATAATATGTCTATTCACTCTAATCTTTAAGCTAACGAAGTAATAATTGAACTACTGAACTAAAATTTGATATGTTACCGGTTTGTAAGACTGAGACAACAAATACGGGKTTTGCGCCCTTTTAAGAAAACTTAAATTTKCCATATAGAATATAGATAGGTATTAACATTGATTTTAAAATATAAAAGTGTTCACCAATTGTACAAAGACAAGATTTGCGGATATGATGAACTCATTATCATTGTCCGTTGACTTTTAAAGATGAGATCGGGTAAATGAAGCTCACCTTGTATATCAATAAATGACGTCATTAGGCCATTCTTTTAGGTCATTAAATAATATTTTAAGAAGTAATGTATATATTTTTTAAAGGTAGATGATATAAAGTCGGAAAAGTTACGGGCATTAAAAACTCAATTATCAAATTGGTCAGACGCTTTGGAAAGAATAAATAAAATGTCTGATGTGATTGAGAAAACACCCGATAAAGCAATAGGAAAATTTTACATCACCATCGATCATATATCAAAAGAAGTTATTGGATTTGATCAAAATTACATTTACGATTCAATTGAATCGAATGAAATTGTTGAGCAACTCAAATTGTTACTTAAAAAATCTGTTACTAAGTTGGTAGAATATGCAAATTCAGTGGAGGTATTATATTATCTAATATCATAGTATTTGGGGTCAATTTAATTTCCTAACTATATTGTATTGTATTTTATTGTATTTTCAGGATCAAGTTTCCGGGATTTCTAAAATTGAATGAAGCAACACTTGACTATCTATAATTATTCTAGTTTATGAAAAAATTAGTGTCAAATCTTAACACAATAAATATATGTATATATTTTTAACATAATATTATATTTATCATACCTAATGATTGTTTTTCCACAAACTTGCACTCTTCTTGATGCATATTTTTTATAATTATAAGTAGATACAAATAAATATTTAAATGCCTCCTAAGGTGATCATTTACCTTGACGTGTCCCTGTAAACATTCATAAAAAATTATATTTCACTATATTTTATCAAGATACAATTGAAATTTCTGATTCTCAATTAAGTTGCTTACTTTTTAGGCTTCATATAAAAAAATATTTGAGTTAATAATATTCTAGTAATAACAGCTATATCACTATAATACTATAAATATTAAAAACCAGATAAAACGTATTAAACATTTCCAAAGATTTTTTATTGAAGAAAAATGTATTACTATTGGAAATTTTGTGCGAGGAGCGTATTGAAATGTATTGTAAYAAAATAATAAAGCCACTTCAGTGCCACTATAGGCATGTGCATTGTGTACTAGCACTATACACATATAATTATGTTATTTAAAATAAGTTTTAAGTTATTTAGTATTCAGTGATTTATTATAGGTATCTATGAATAATGATATACGATATTTTTATTTTTGTCAACTATTTCATAAATCAAGTGATTATGTTATGAAAATAACTCATAAGAAATTATTTTGCCCTTCAAAAAATTAATAAAATAATGTTTGATTGATAATATTGTATTATTAATGATAATTATATCATAACATTGTGTTTAATATATTAAACGTGGGATTATCTAATTTTAATGTAATTGTTTTATAATTATTTTATATTATAATTTATATACTCATTACTCATTACTCATGTATATTTTTATAGTTATATAGGTATAATAATTGATACGTTAAAAKAAAATCTATTGGTACTTAATAAAAGAAGTCTTCCGCTAATAAAACGAATTAGTCTCGACCAAAAGCGTAATAACAATATTTTCAAAGCAGGAACTTTCGTTTTTTGGTATGTAATATATTTTGTATATTAATCTAAAAAATATTTGCTTACAATAATTGTGATGTACCTAATAAATCCATTATGTATACATTTAAAGTAAATATTTTATTTTTTATTTTATAAATGTACTTTAATGTAGGAAGGTAGGTAGATAGGTTACATAATACAGTGTAATTTAGATATATTTTTAAACTGGAACAGTATAGGTACAATATTAACTTTAATGAATATTGCTTGACGCGAATTACTTTTCTCGCGATAATTTCGTCCATAAAAAAATATCCATTCGAGAAAAATGTAGTTTAAACCAATTATAATGTTTTTTTTCCGACTGAGTAGTTGAATTGACGTCATAGTCCCAATCACGCAGGACGCAATAATCTCACCGAGAGAAATGGAAAAGGTTCATCCAATTTTCTGGTTGTTAGGGTCTATACGATGACGCGCTGCAGCGCCACCGTATACCTACGTAATTATACGTAATTCAAACTGGTTGGRACAGCAGAAGAGAGGTGGGTGTCTAAGTGTCTTGCACGAATACCGTTATATATGTGCGCACGTTTCTGTAGGTATAACGCTCATCTCAATGTCAGTGCGTAAGGTCGTTGATCTGGACGTGCATAGGAGGTAGTTGTTCGTTGTCCGTAACCTATCCAGGCACGAGTATAATATTATACGTATATTGTGTGTTGGATTTACCGGTATAAAATATGGTGTCTTGATATCATCGTCATCGTTAAATTAATTATTTCATTACCGACGTGACAATAATGCATCTGCGTGAGACTATTGTGTTCACTTTAAGTCGCAGACAACTCAATCGTTCGCGCTTTATCGATGTTTAAGCGTAATATTATTATGTATATGCATATAATCGTCATCTGAACCGTCAATCGTCGTTGGATTTGTTTTGACGTATCGAGTGAGTTAAGCTTGACGTCACAGAATCAACTTTTCATTGGATACATTTTGGTAGGTAATTAAAGGCATCTATTATAAAGATATTAATGATACAGCTAATTATATTAAATATTATATTTTATCCGCGAAAGATGTATATGTGATCATATGTGATGATCGCTATATACAAAATATATTCTTGAACCCCTTTATAAATTATTGATGCATTTTAAAACCATGTATACGATCATGCCATGTAGATACCTTGTGTTCCACATGAAAATAAAATATCGTAGTAAATCATAGGTAGGCTACTATAATGTATAATGAGCGATGTCTACGTGCTATTATTAATCTGATCTACTTTAACGTGAACCAATTTAACTGAAATATTATTTTCGTAAAAAATACGCACATTTTTACCATTCTAGTTTTTATATCCTGATCGTCCGACTTTGTGAATTTGAAAATCAGGTTAGAGCGACATGTTTATTATAACACACGTCTACGTGATCGTTGTCACGTAGGGCGCAGTTCCTTTCTTCTTCGCCACATTCGCTGTACATGCCATAAAATATAATACTGTCAATAAGCATCGGTTAGTTTCACCACCGATAGTGATAGTGACCTCAAACATCATCAACGATTCCATCGTGTGTCTTGTTTATGTTTTTAGATTGGCTGTTGTGATACTATGCGGTACTCATGAGTGGCGTGGAAGTTATACCCATCGGAGCGATTGCGGGGGCTGCGTCGCAAGTGGCCTGGTTCTTGCCCGTTTTGGTCGCGGCTATTGCTTATTTCCACTACGAAGTAAATGATCCCGAATCAAGGATTATAGAACAGCCCAGCGATCTGATACTCGACCAATATGATTTCATTATAGTCGGCGCTGGATCGGCAGGTGAAAATAATATTTTATTTTAATATTATAATATATACGATATCGTGCTGATGTACACACGTAATAATTTTTATTGTGGCATAGTGACAATAACTTTTTTAAGTGGCATGTTATGTTTTTACCTTTATATGCAAATAAAAACGTTAATATTTATTAGGTGCGGTGCTGGCGAATAGGTTGACCGAAGTCGAAGATTGGAGTGTATTATTAATAGAAGCCGGCGGAGATGAAACCGAAATATCCGATGTGCCTTTGTTGGCTGCCTACTTGCAACTTACCCAGCTCGATTGGCAATATAAAGCCGAACCCCAGGATACAGCATGTTTGGGTGAGTAACAAATTAATATGGATGGATATTAGAAGATTTATTTTGTGAACTCAATTTATTCTGGCCGTAATATATAAATTTACGATGAGCTTACAAAGGTTTATTGATAGCATTAATAATGTGTTGTTTAAATGTTAGGCCACACTTTTGAAGACTAGTGATGTAAAAGTCTCATTAAGTTTTTTTATAATCAGGGAATCAACAGAAATTTTACTTTAAGTAGGGCAATTTTAAATTTCTTAAAACAGCTATAGTAGTTTCAGAAAAAAATAAAATGTAAAATTGTACAGAGAAATTAAATTCTAGCTGAATGAAATAAATTTTGTTAAAGAAATCAAGATATATAAATTTTGCTGTAAAAATGTATTATTTTGATTTGATTATAAAAATCATAAGAAATTCAATAAACATTAATAATAAATAGTACCTACATCAAATGTATGTATACTGTGTATTTATGATCGRTCTAAAACAAGGTTAAATAAAATAGTTTTAAAACCATAATATGATAATAATAGTTTATAATTCTAAATTTCTACACACATACCTAATAAATGGACGAAAGTATATATAATGTAAATATATATATATATATATATTACAGCTATGAAAGAACAACGTTGCAATTGGCCTCGGGGCAAAGTCTTAGGTGGGTCCAGCGTGTTGAACTATATGATGTACGTGCGTGGAAACCAAATGGACTATGACAACTGGTTGAAACAAGGCAATCCTGGTTGGGGATACAAAGACGTGCTTTACTACTTTAAAAAATCAGAAGATAATAGAAATCCATACTTAGCACGGACCCCGTACCATTCGATGGGTGGTTATCTGACGGTGTCTGAGGCACCATACAAAACGCCGTTGGCAGACGCATTCGTCAGGGCTGGCCAAGAAATGGGCTACGATATTCGCGATATAAACGGAGAACGGCAAACTGGTTTTATGATACCCCAAGGGACCATCAGAAGAGGAGCCAGATGCAGTACGGCGAAAGCTTTTTTGAGACCGGCTAGACTGCGGAAGAACCTGCACGTGTCCATCAACGCTCATGTCACACGYGTGGCAATAAATCCCGAGACAAAAGTCGCGTTCGGCGTCGAAATGATCAAGGACAACAAACGGCATTTCATTCGGGCCAACAAAGAGGTGCTTCTGTCTGCGGGTTCCATTAGTTCTGCACAGCTACTTATGCTTTCGGGCATAGGTCCTAAGAACCACCTGACAGAAATGGGTATACCCGTTCTAGCTGATTTGGATGTCGGGAAAAATCTTCAAGACCACGTTGGACTTGGTGGGCTCGCGTTTCTCATTAACAAAGAGGTGAAATTACTATGCATATTAATTATTAATTATAAAACGATATTTTATATAAACAGATAAAAACTAATGATGGCTGATGAATAAAGGTATCTACCTCAGATCCCCCACTGGCCCCTATATTAAATGTTTTTGCGAGCCCTATAAAATATTATTATTATAAAATAAATATTCCTGTTAAAATTTTAAAATTAGAAATATTACATATCAATYAAAAYAGCGRGGACCCTGAATTCTAAGTCCAATAGCCTTACCCCCTTGTGGAKGAACTGTGATACTGCAGTGTAGTATAGTACCACTATATCCATATACCTGATGGGGARAGGGCAAATTTTATTTATGGTTAAATTACTTGTTTTCTTCTTTTAATAAAAGATTTAAATATTAAACCAAATTTAGTCATTTTAACTTCTCAGTCTTGCTTGTTATCATTRGTAAATATGTATTATTMATAGGTATTATTRTTAGGACAATTGTCYTGGAGATTTAATTCTTAATGTTAAAATATTATTAAGGATAAGTACAACTTTRCCAGTGGCAATAGCTTCAGCTAAAAGAAAATTAATTATTCTGAAGCGTATAGATTTGAAAAATCGAATGTGATTATTATTATTATTATTATCCTCATAATGACTTATTCATCTAAATTTATATTTTTTACGATGCTATTCACTACATTTTATTAAATTTTCATTAATAATCAAAAAYTAATTTGTATTAATATTATACGTGCATTTTATCGACCTAAAATTAGTGTCCCTCACACCTAGTATATTTCTAGCTAGGGAACTTGCCACTTTGCTGTGAATTAAAATTAACCACGAGCTCCTTCATTCGTTGTACAGGTGTCGTTAATACAAGAGAGAGTAGAAAACGTCCAAACTGTTTTGAACTATGCTACGATGGGTGACGGACCGTTGACAGTTATGGGTGGTGTCGAAGGGTTGGCATTTATCAACACCAAATATGCTAATCAATCAGTCGACACACCGGACATCGAGTTACACTTTGTTTCTGGTTCTACCAATTCTGATGGTGGTGTACAACTGTGGAAAGCTCACGGACTGAAAGAAGAGTTTTATAAAGCTGTGTATGAACCAATTAACAACAAAGATGTGTGGTCTGCTATACCTGTAAGTGAAAATATAATACCTTAAGAAAATACGAAAAACAAACAAAAGATTTTATTTTCATTGAGTGTAGGATGGTTGACTAAAACTAAAAACAGAATTAGGACAAATACATTATAAATGTGCTGAAACAAAACATTTTCTCATACTTTTATACTTGACTACTTGAGACATCAATATAAGAGTATCCTTTAAATTGATTTTTTTCAGAATATTTATTGTGGTAGGCACTTATGCGGTTTTCATCGAGGTATTTAATGTTGTTAAAAAATCAATTTTGATAAATTTATTATAACCTATTCCCTTTCCTGGACATCACTGTGGCGTACGGTGGCGATACAATTATAATATAATCTACGTTTCTCGTATCTACAGATGTTGTTGAGGCCCAAAAGTCGGGGCGAAATAMTGCTGCGGAGCACCGACCCTACCGTGTATCCRAGGATATCGCCAAACTACCTGACGGCCCAAGAGGACGTGGACACGCTGGTGGAGGGCGTCAAGTTCGTGGTGGCAATGTCCCGGACCACACCGTTTCGCCGATACGGCAGTCGGCTGCACGACATACCGTTCCCCGGTTGCGCCGCCGTGCCGCGGTTCACAGACGCCTACTGGGAATGCATGGTCCGACACTACACGGTGACCATATACCATCCGGTGGGCACCGCCAAGATGGGACCCGAGTGGGATAAGACCGCTGTAGTGGACCCTCTGCTCCGGGTGTACGGAATTTACGGGCTCCGTGTCGTAGACGCGTCCATTATGCCCACACTGGTCAGTGCCAACACCAACGCTCCGGTTATAATGATTGCCGAGAAGGCCGCGGACATGATCAAAGAGAAATGGCTAGACAGGAAACGGTGACACGATTGCAGTGATTGTGACACGCGTTATCGTCACGAACATCTGCAATAAATTATTGTTTTCTTTTTTTTTGCTTAACCCAGATTTTATGGTAATTTATTACTATCGCGACGATTACTTTTTTTCTTATATATTTATTCAAAATCGTTATGCTGTATAATTTCAAGATATTATTATCATTCCAGACCAACGTAAATATGTTATCTATGTGTATCTATACCAAAGCGGAAACCTTTTAAAAATAGACATATTAATTTATGTAAAAGGAAAGTACCTATAATATTATTTAAATATTTTGACATTTTGAAATTATTTGTGTTCATGATGACATATTTTTATAGTAATATATTATATTATTTATGTATTTAATGTTTGCAAACATTTGTATGTTCGAAATAGTGTATTATCTTTATTACAATATTTAGAACTCTAGAGTGTATTGGATGTTTTATACATATTTTACGTTGATCGAATAAAATATTTAATAGAGCTCTATACTAATGAAAAATGACACTTGGTACCTATTCGTCATACAARATTTGGATGCACATTCCATATTATTTATGAGGTACCTAGTTTGAAGGAATTATGAAATTTTGTACATAGATAATTCCGATTATCATATTACACCAGAGAATGTGCACATCGGAGCAAATATTTTATTTAGCATCTTAAAAAGGAGCTCAAAAAGTTTTGGCTCAAAAACATTAAAAAAAAAAAACAAAAAAAAAAAATTTTTGGTCGAAGGCATTGAAGACAAACGTACACGTGCATGTATACCAACTCCAAAAAMACAAAACATATTGGCGTGAACACAATAATATACATAATATTATATATAGGATATAGACATGGGTGTTGGTTTGGTTGTCTATGTTGTATTCATAAATATTTTATTTATAGTAATAATTGTTGGTTTATATGAATAATTACAGAATATAAACTACAATAAAATGTAGAACGCTCCTTAAATTTCAGCATTATTTTATAGTTTTTATCAAAAAATAAGATGTTTTTAAGAATAACTATATTATAATAGGGTTTAAGTTAATAATAATGTAATACCTAACTTTTGTATTACCTATTCTTCAATAAACTTGAAGTTTTGACGTTGCTTACACTATATGTATATGGCTAAAAATGATTTGTCATAACTGCAGGTACTTACTCACAATTTATGGATGGTAAAATGAGAGTATTTTCATTTTTATTAGGCTKAGAAGCTTTCATTGAATTAAAACAACATTTTCTAAAAATAATATCAATTTATCGACCACCGGGATACGTTTATCATAAATTATAGCTTATAAGAAAGATAARTATTACTTAACCGTAATAATAATGTTCAAAATAACGGTAGTGAACATTAAAACCCAATAATATTAGGTACTTATAACAGCAATACATTTTTCTTTTAATCCGAGCACTTAATAAAACAATATCACATAACTAGGTTTTTAAAAATTATCATCATATTAGATTATTAGAGGTGCGAGYGTATTAGTTTCACTAAGATTTGTTTATGTTTATAAATCTGTTATCATGGTTTGGAGCAGAATGCTCTTACCATCAAGTCTAAGGGGTTTTTACTTTTTGGGAACAAATTATGATATTATAATATTAATAATTAATACAATATTAGGATATAGGTTCTATAAATTATTATAATATATTATATTTTCTGCAAAAATTAGACCAATGCATACAGTGGCGTGTTWAGGGGGTGGGCCCGGTGGGCATGTGCCCACCCACATTTTTATATAAATACTAGACTTATATAGAATAAAAATACTAAAACTTATAAATAGATCAAATTTTAGTATTAGGAGGGGGTAAAACCATTCTGAACTTAATTTTTGTGGCCCATCCACAAAAAAAGTTCTGGACATGCCACTGAATACATATTAACATGATTAGGTTATRTATATTATATATTAGGTTATAAAATCTAGCTGCTGATTTTTGCTTTTAATAAATGCTACAGCAACTATTCCTCTTGTTGATATTTTATATTCTCCAAACACTTCTTAATATTAAGGAACAATTCGATTACATTATTGTACTTATTAGTGATATTTTTATAATATATTTTGTTCGAAACGAAAATATTTTGGAACTATATTATTTATTTAAATAAGTGGTGCAAAATACTTATCCTATTCTGTGTGATAATGACCTATTTAGGTTTTGTACACGTTAACAAAATATTTAGTATCGATTTACAGTCATATGATTATTTACATTTTTGAATGTTCTTATAACTGCTTAAAAGTATTATTCGTACATTTATAAATCTAGGACAAATAAATTATGTAAAATGTTTATATTTATTTCAATAATTTATGTACAATGTTTAAGCATGTCTGTTTAGGTTAGGCTAAGTCAGCTGACTAAGCAATTTGAAAACTTGAGAAGAATAGTTTTTTCATAGTAATATTTTTGGTTGATATGCCAATTTAATTATGTATTTACCTTGAACACCAAACAACTTTCATTTCATTTAATTTAGATATAAATATATAATTACAAACAAAGTTTTTATTGTAATTTAGTTTTAAAATAGGTATCTATTGGTATATAGTACACGACTGCCAATGTAGCAGAATGAATGGTTAGAAAAATGTATAGCCATCCCCCAACCGGGCGTGGCAGAAACTTACAGATGCCCACTAGAAATGTTGCCAAAYACACAAGTGTTCCAAAAACTTCCCAAAAACTCAACAGTACCAACCAACGAACCTACAGCTAATGACCTCAGCGATTGAAGCTTAAAAAAAATGTATAATAGACAAAAATATATTATGAAATAATTGACAGTATAAAACAAAAATACTTAAATAAACATTTTTTTCAATAGGTTCATGCCAATGATACCTATTGTACTTTTATTGAACTAAAAATAATTATAAATATGGGATTTGTGCCTGGGAATTGACTAATCGTTTCTATTGTGTAAAGTATTATCATTTTCAAATAAAATTCATTTCATGACATCAGGTGGTTATTTATTTTTATAATCAATATTATATGCTATATTTGAGGGGGTTTTATTTCAACCTTATTTGGTTTCAAGAAGATATAAATGAAAAGTTAACCTTACAATATAAGTCATAAGATATTTAATAAAAAAATATCTAAATTTGTATAATGTCTAAACACATTTTCGAATGTTAAAAGTAAATACTGAGAATATCATGTAAACGTAATAATTAAAACGCGTGCAAAGATATATCTACTTATATAGATTGTGTTTTTACAACGTATATGTATAATATGTCATAACTTATTTAATATTCCTATTTAATACCTATGTRTAATTTGAGTGAATTTCTTTTKAATTGTTCKCTTGTTCTTTAAGTATTTATAGTATAATGAATCAAATTGCATAAAGTGTTTATGCTTATATTATATTTATAATAATTTATATGGAAAATATTTAACAATAATTTTGGTTATGATTACACAACAAAATCGCACAGGAATTTCTAGAAAAATATTTTGTTTTGTGTAATATTATGATTTCTCATGTTTTTCTTTTATTACGATTCGTGCTATCAAATTTTTAATAACACTCCAACGTGTCTACTATATAATATAATATATTAATATGTCTTCAACTCACAGTACTTACGGTAGGTAAGTAATCCAATATAAGATACTAAGTTATGATCGATAAAGTATTACTAGCAACGTTCGGTAATGGTTTATTTTGTACGAAAAATAAAATTTTATATAACTCGTGATATTGAACACTTGTTATATACCTATACCGGCTATACCTATTTACCTATTTTTACAGAGTTAATAACCATATACAGGCATATGGTTATTAAATTTGTTCCATTCGTTTAGAGGTTTAGACTAAGCGTAGTCTGCTTACAACTAATATACCATCAAAATATCGAATCTAACATCGTTTCTCCACGGTTCAACGTGAATAATTCTATGTTCTATATCTACGTACTCTAAATTAGTAAATTATAAAAAATACAGATACATTTTTAGAAAAAATTTAAAAATGTTGAGGACCAACATTGATTTTGACAATTAWTCGAAAATATTCATTATGATAGTAAAGTTTCTAAAAACGTTGAACCGACWATTAASTACAGTTATGTACATACTTATATAGGTGGTTGTAATGTGATGAGATTTTGGGAGTCAAATCTATTGCAATAACACAGAAAGAGAAATGAAATAAGATAAATAATTATGAATAAGAATAAGAATACAAATAAGGCGCCTACCAATATTTATATTAAAATTATAATGAACGAGAAAGTTAATGTCAAAGGTCTGTGTCGTTATGTTATATAACTTATAAATTCATGTAAATTCATGTCTAGTAACGTGATCCATTATATTGATTCTGGAGTGACGTTATGTCGTTATAGATAGGTAGTTACCAGGTATACCATTTAAAGACATTAAATAATGATATGTATCGAAATAAATAATTTGAAACATATGGATTCTGCGTGGTGAGTGGACAAAAATTTAAAAAAACATTCGAATATACATGAAATGTTTAATAAGTACATGCCATATGCGTTTTAATTGYGTGCAATTCGCGTAGTTTAATAAAACTATTATATGAGTGGGTATTGCGAAAAAAATAAGCAACTAACAACTACTGGATCGAGTGTAAAAATATTTTGATGATAGGTATAATATAATATTTTTGCCATATGGCAGGAGGTGACGTGAAGTATGCAGACGTAAAAAAAAATAACAATAATAATATATAATGCCTCGTCGTTCCGGTAGGTATCATATAGGTATTTTTACGACGGCCATAGCGATAATGTCACTATCGGTTCGTCGGTAGTCTGTACATCGCTAGCCGAATTGCAAATAATTTCGTTTGTCATCGTCGTCCGAATTTCGTGCGTGTGTACGTGTGCTTGTGCGTTTGTTCCGATTCCTGCGCGGGACACGTGCGAGTCGGCGTGTTCGTCACACCGGCAGTGTCCATTTATCGGTCGTCGCTGTCGCGCATGGCGCCTAACCCGTTCACGGCCAGGCTGGCCTCCCGAATCGCCATGTCGTACGGGCCCAGCGTCAGCTACATAATGCTCATCCGCGTGGCCATACTGTTCTTCCGGCCCGACATCGAGGACGTCGATCACCGTCTGACGGACCGCCAGATCGCCGAGATCAGGGACAGGTACGATTTTGTGGTGATCGGCGGTGGTTCCGCTGGTTCCGTTATGGCTAATCGTTTGTCCGAGAACGCCAACTGGACGGTAATGAATTAATGATATTCCTCTTAATTATATTGTAACATTTGAATACTGTTATTATTTAAGCTAAATGATCTCAAATAAAAAACCAAATAATTTTAAATTTTAACAATAACTGATTACGTTTTTTAAGCATGTATATAAAACGATGATAATAAAAATCAACGATTAACAAGAGCAAATGTGGACTACAGTGACCAACAAATGCGAACAATTTAAAATTTAATTATATGTATGGCATTTACTATTATAAATTTACAACCGGTATCAAAATAGTTTTAAAACGGTTGGGGAAATATTTTTATTTTTATTAAGCGATTAAAATATATATCATAGTATGAAAATTTTTATTTTTTAAAATTGAAAACAATAAGTATAAATTTGATGTGGGCTTATAAACAATTGGAAAATATGATGAGAGGTGGACACAACTTTATAGAATGAGGAAATCTTATACAAAAACTGTTCATCTTAAATGGAAGTGATTTATAGCCAGTAAGATAGTAACGACTTAAAATTTAATATATTACTGACTATTGTAACAAATTAGAATTGGTATCGACGAACATAGGCGTGCGCAGACTTTATTAGCAGGAGATGCCAATATAATCCAAAATAACTCAATTTTATCTTAAAAAAAAAAAAACATAAATCAGAATTTTCTTCTTAAAAAAATGTAATATATAACTACAAAACTCTCTGTTACGTTTGTGATAAAAATTATGATAAATATTGATAGTTTTCACTATTAAAAGTAAAAACATAATAAAACAATCTATCTGAGTAGACTGCAAGGGGATGCTATGGCATACCCGGCATCCCCCTTGTGCACGCCTATGTCGACGAATATCAAATGAGCTTGATAAATACTAAAATAACTTTATAGTGTATGCTATTGATGTTATATCACATAATACAGCTTACGATATTTTAAAATTAAATCCTGTCATTTATAGTTGTAATTATTTGATGAAATCGGTAGACTGTCAGCCAACACCATCGAAATCAATTTAGTGTAGCTTACTATACATAATATACTATACAATACTTATGCTTATATTTACAATAAGTCAATAAGATTATCGAACGGATAAAARTTTTTTTTAATGATTTTAATGGTCGAATAAAACACGACAATCACAAAATGGAACCAGAGTCGCATTCTATATTATTTAGTGTATATTTTATATCTATAGTGTCAAATGTCAACGCCTATTATTTGAAACATTGCGTGACGTTTAATGTGATTTTGAAGTAGTTTTTTTAAAAATTGTATTGAGACATTGAGTACTTATACTATATAAAAATGTGTATTATTTCATACTAGCCTATCGATAAAAACACGTTAATGTTAACAAGTACGATTAGGTATATTATGATTGTTATTTATATATACTGAATCATTTATTACTTTTTGTTTGAATTTTTATTTTATATTATTATCAGATGATTCTTTAAAGTTTTTTTTTGTAAAAATATAATAGGGATAGGAAGGCACCAAGCAATATTTTGTAGCTTAAACGTAAATAGTTTCAAGCGTTAAAATTATTTGATTTTGTTGACTTGTCCATGAAATTGAACTCTATACCATTTATATTTAAATAAAATTAAGTAAAAGTAGAATATATTTTTATTGAATTAAATATTTAATTAGTTGTTACTGGATATATTATGTAGGTATTTTTTTTATTTGCTTCATTGTTAATTATTATTAGTGAATTAATTCGGTTTATAGACATTACTAGGGCTCGAATTTATATGTATATTCTATTTATACGAGTATAACCATAAGTGAGTATTTATACGATATAAATATGTGCTAAAAAATTCATGATATTTATTATATACAAAAAAAAAAAAATGATAATAATAATTAATAATGTAATAAAATATAAATAGATCGTAATGTAACTGTTGGCCTGACTTACAACAGAGAAAGATGGCGAGACCTCTTGAAGGCAGCAATGGTCCTCAACGGAACGGTAAGATGAGAARAATGAAATATAATAAAAAAAWATTTATCCAACTATCTAATTATCTTGAATAACCAACTACGAACACAGATTAAACCAACAAAATTAAAACACGGCTCGTTCGTTAATGTAGGTATACTGATTCACTGTCAGTAGTTCAGACCATTGGCGTGTTCAGACTTTGGTGGCTGAGGAACCAAAATAATAATTTTTAAATCCTGAGACTTATTTTAAGACAGTTTTAGACATTCTTTATGTTATAAAATTCATAGTTATAAGAATATTTTTTGATTATGATCAACAAGTATAACCAATTTCAAAACAATACAAATACATTTAAAACTAAATTAAAAACAGATACATAATATTTATAATATTACCTTACCATGTTATTTAGTTAGAATTGATGAACATAATATTATATGATAATATAATCACTAATTAATAAATGCTCAAATATAATGACTTTAATATCAATAAAATTTTCTATTATTTGTGAGCAGCAATAAAACAAGGTATAAAAATTACAATCAATCAAATCTATAGGTACTGTAGGGTACACACAGCACGACTCTTATTATTCTGGCATTTTTTTTGAAGCATAGTTCACCGGGGAGGGGGGGCTGTGCTCCCTTGGCCCCTTCTGTAAACACGCCTATGGCTCAAACGCAAACACGTATTAATAAAACGTAATTTATCGTTTATTGAGGTCATAAATAAAGGAGAATATATATCGACAGTAGATTAAGTTTAATAATTGGTATTATTTTGTATTTTYGGAAACTCGGGAAATTTGAAAAAAAAATTGAAAATTACAATCGTATACAATTAATAATTATTAATAAATAATAAAATATCGTAAATGAACAAATTGTCGAAATATATAGGAAAAAATGGAATTATTGAGAAATACTCGTACGTAAAAACATGAACTTATGGCAAAATATTTAAAATAAAATATAGTTACAACTTCATTGGAAATCTGAAACGAATTTATCACTTACCTTGAGTTACCTAAATTAATTTATTAAGTCACGGTAAAAATATGAGTTTACATATAAATCTGAGCCCTAGACATTACTGTTTCATACTGAGTAATGATAACAATTATTGGTATAAATTTATGAGATAATAATTCTTGGTTTTTATTATTAGTCATTTCGGTAATTTAATATATTATTATACGAATAAAAATTATGTTAAACGATAAGACTATGATACATTTTATTTTTATTTCTTGTAAAAATAATTTAAGCTTCAATAAGTTTTTTTTATATGAATTGTATTCATTAAAAGCCAGATATAGTTATAACCTATTGGGAACTTATACTAAATTATTTAAATTAAATTTATTAAACTTTAATGAATTCTTTAAACGTTATTTTATTTATCAATAAAATATAAATTTTAATAAAATGGTTTATATCTTATTATTTTTTAAATATTTTTAATATGTCGTGATTTATAAATGTGTAGAATAGTGTCAATGACTTCATTAAACTTTTAGAATGGTSAATAATAAATAAAATGTAGTCTTTCTGGCTTTCCATATTACATTTTTTATTTTTTATTTGCATATTACCTATACAAATATAATAATAATACAATTTTATTTGAACTGTGAAATCGGATAATAAAATATTTGAATCATCTTATTATAAAATTGTGTACTATTATAATATGTCGATATAATATTATGTAATATTATTTTGGTAATTAAAATTATAAATGATATAGATATTTGGGCTAGAAAAATTCTAAAACACCGTAATTGTTATTGTTTTCTATAAATCAATGCGTTAAATCATTATTAAAACAATATTCGTGTTCAATTTGTAATTGGTAAAAATGAAATTTAAAATACAATTAAAYTCTRTCTATAGCTGCATATATATATATGAAACGATCGTAGGTAATGAAAAAAAAATGTATCTAGAAAGTAAACGAATACTATAACAATTAACGAGTAACAACAATCATTATCGTTTGTTATTAGGTTTTATTAATAGAGGCCGGAATCGACGAACCGGCATTGTCTGACATACCATTGCTATATCCTTCTCTCCAGCGCACGTCTGTTGATTGGCAGTACAAAACACAACCCAGTGATTCATCTTGTTTGGGCTTCAACGGGAATCAATCTAGCTGGCCCCGAGGTAAAGTCATCGGGGGCAGCAGTGTTCTAAACGCCATGTTCTATGTCAGGGGCAACCGGAAGGACTACGACGCATGGAGAGACGCTGGCAATGAGGGCTGGGGTTACAAGGACGTGTTACCATACTTTATAAAGTCCCAGGATATGAGGATACCGGAGCTTGTGGATTCAGAKTATCACGGCACTGGAGGATACCTGAGCGTGGAGCATTTCCGGTCGCACTCACCGATCGTGGACAGTTTTTTGGAGGCCACCAAGGAATTTGGTTACGACGAAGTTGATATAAACGGTCAGAGTCAGACAGGATTTACGCGATCTCAAGGTAATTATTTTATATAACAATATGTGGTAGATACCCGATAAAACATTTAATGTGCATTACCAATACCCATGTTGGTTTTTAACTTTTGCATTAAAATTCTTTGACTAGATCATACGACACTTCGATTTGTAAAATTTTACGATATATATTATTTTAGGGACTCTAAGAGACGGGTTGAGGTGCAGTACTGCCAAAGCGTTTTTGAGGCCAATTAAAAATCGTCCAAACCTTCATATCAGCTTACACACGCATGTTTTAAAAATCGTGATCGAAAATGACCGGGCCACGGGCGTACTGATATCTAAACTGGGGACAATACCAACGCTGGTGACAGCCGAGAAAGAAGTAGTGCTGTCGGCTGGCGCAATTAACTCACCCCACCTCTTGATGTTGTCCGGTATAGGGCCTGCCGATAAGATACGTAAAGCCGGCGTCAAAATCACCAAACACATACCCGGTGTGGGGCAAAATCTGCAAGACCACATTGCGATGGGCGGTGTCACATATTTGTTCGATTCACCCGATGAATCCAGTCCCCTTGGTCTAGGCATAGTCTTGCCGAGGGTGTTGACGCTAAACTCATTCATCCAATTCTTCCGAGACAAAATGGGGCCGCTCTACAGGATACCACTTGGTGAAGTCATGGGCTTTGTAAACACGCGGTGAGCAAGCTTTCAGTTTGAGAATTGGAATAATAGATAAAGATAAAAAGTCAACATAATTTTCTAGCTTTTGTTTGTTTTGGTCTGTTGTTATTTAATTATCATTGTTTTATTCGTTACAGCTATAACAATGATTCCGACTGGCCGGACGTTCAGCTGTTTATGGCAACGGCCGGAGACAACGACGATGGGGGTTTATTGAACAAACGGGATGTGGGAATCACTGACGAATACTACGAGCAAGTTTTTGAACCCATACTATACCGAGATGCTTTTACGATAGCACCGTTGTTGTTGAGGCCGCACAGCCGAGGCTACATAGAGATCACAAGTTCCAACCCGTACACGGCGCCGAAAATCGTGCCAAACTACTTCAGTGACCCGCGGGACATCAAAACTATGGTGGAGGGTGCTAAAATCGGATACGCCATCAGCCGCACAGTAGCAATGAGCAAGATAAATACCACTTTGCATAATATCCCCACGCCGGGGTGTGAGTGTTACAAGTTTTTGTCCGACGAATACTGGGAATGTCAGGCCCGTCATTACACGATGACCATTTATCATCCAGTCGGCACTTGCAAGATGGGCCCGGTGGATGACGAATATGCCGTGGTAGATGAGCGGTTGAGGGTGAGAGGCATCAGTGGATTGAGAGTGGTCGACGCGTCTATAATGCCCACGATAGTTAACGGAAACACCAATGCTCCAACGATTATGATCGCGGAAAAGGCATCTGACATGATCAAGCAAGATTGGGCCGGACACACGCAAAAATTTAAGACACGGTACATCAAGAAGACAGTCAGGAGATGGTGGTAAGCCTTTATCCAAACACTTTTGAATACTGTGCCAATCTGATTGATATTTATATTTATAAAATTGGAATTTAAAGAATGCAATTATTATCGATATTTGTATTTTTGTATACATTATCGGTAATCGCAATTATTATCCCAATAATTTTGTTTGTGTACCTAACCTATACCTATTAATAAGTATGGAATTTTTATTGTTCAGTTACATTAAGTTGCATTTTTAMTAATTATTCAAACATGATAATCTTTAAGATGTATATTATAATACCATAAAATGTATAACATCTCTATAAATCGTATATAATTTTAAATTGTTTACACTTTTTATTAATGTCATTATTTATCTCTGACACTGAGGTCGTAAAAATTAATTTTAGTAAATTATTATTTTATATTATAAATACCATAATACCTTATAAGTATTATTATAAACTGTTAACCCTGTTAACTGTTTAGTTTTAAGTGTAAACTATTTCATATTTATTTGAATAATAGTTAAAATATTATATTTATTGAAAAAAAGTCAAGTGTTATGAATACATTGTAGCTTTGTAAGTTAATAGGTACTTATACTGAAAGTATAAATTAGTTATTTTATGTGTRAAATAAATGAGTATAATGCATGCTATTATATTATTATAATACATAGTATTTATACCGTACCTACATTATATGCGTACGTTAATTTTAAAGCAGTATTCGAGAATGTATAAAGCATATATATATATATCATAAATGGAACCACGAAGATTCACACCGATCAAATTTAATTTCCTGGGATCACTTTTTTAAAAGCCTATTTTTCATTCATGTACTCAAAACTGGTTTCTAGAAAACTCGTTAGTCGTTCGACGGGGATATCCGAAAGTAAAAAAAAAACTGTTTTTCTCCTTATGTTTTTACTTTCTTATATACCCACTCTGCAGATTATTATGTTTATAATACTGCACTACTGGGCTTAAAACAATAGAGAAAGTTGATTGGCCACGGGACATCTAAGCGCCAAGTCGATATATTATATTTTCAATCGATATTCGTTTATATTTTTCAAGACCAGATATCGAGTTCAGTGTAGAATAAATGTTCGGAGCCTTCGGTTACTGATGAAATGACTGCGCAGGATAATTATATTCGGATTGTCGTCGTTGCTCGACTCGTTTCACTGTTGTACTACTGCACTGGCACCTAAATCACGACATACATATTCGACGTCCGAGCGTGTTCTAAAATCCACAATTGCGTTTGTGCGTRAATATCGATCGTTCAATTTAAATCAGCGAAACACTCACGCGTGATAATACAATWATTCAAATTGTACTGCCGATCATGACGTCTTCCGGCGGAAGCTGCGAGTGCTCGTGGTCCGACTCGTCGTTCCTGTCCGGTTCGTGTGGTAAAACCGGCGGCCTGGCGTTCTTCATGTCGTTGGTGGACCTGGTAATCCGGTCGCAGTGTTCAGTGACGGACTCATGTCGTCGGGCCACCGGGCGCCGGCAGTTCCCGGCCGGTCCTGTGTACCCGGAGGAATTAGATTTCGTGGTGGTCGGCGGTGGCGTGGCCGGTTCCGTGGTGGCGTCCCGGCTGAGCGAGGTGGCCGGCTGGACGGTGGGACTGCTGGAGGCTGGTCCTGAGGAGCCATCGACCACGTCAGTGCCKGCGTTCGCGTCGGCCGCGATGGGCACCGAGTTAGACTGGCGGTACTTGACCGAGCCACAGGGCAATGCGTGCCTGGGCGCGGGCGGAATATGCGTGTGGCCGAGGGGCAAGATGTTGGGCGGCACCGGGGCCATGACGGGTATGATGTACTCGAGGGGCCACCGGCGTGTGTACGACGCGTGGCGCGAATCAGGGGCAGTGGGCTGGGGCTACGATGAAGTGCTGCCGTACTTCAAGAAGTCAGAGCGCAACATGGACACCGACATGGTGGAGCCTGAGTATCATGGGTTCGATGGTCCTGTGACCGTACAGCGGTTTGCTCACCGTCCCGAGATGGCCGAGTCCATCGTGCAAGCCGGCGCCGAGTTAGGCTACAGGACCGGTGACCTCAACGGRCACAATCAAACCGGTACGTACAATACTGTAATTGCAACGACCACGTATTGTATGTTATACGCATTATAATATTATATAACATAATAAAATAGAAAACAATATCATTGTTAGGTGTAGGTATTTGTGTTTGGTGTGTGTGTGTGTGTGTGTCTGTCTGTGTCTGTGTCTGTGTGTGTGTCTGTGTATACAGGGTGTCCCAAAGAGTTCTGACAAATGAAATAACTTTTGTTCTAATCAATATTTAAAAAAAATTCTTTTAAATATAATCCATAGACACTTGCGCTACATTTTTAGAATACACTTTTTATTTTTTAATACT